AGTTCCGTCAGTTCGTACGGTACATATGAGTCCAATTTTTTTACTTTGTTTATCGCACGCAGATGTTTCAACACAGCCGTATGGCTAGTTCCTAGCTTAGTCCCAAGTTTACGAATAGTTGTGTCTGGATCGGATTCCAGAGTCGTCCTTAATTCCTCGTTATCAATATGGCCCGGTGGTCTTCCTTGAGGCTCATTGACGATGCTCAAATTGCCAGAACGAAATTTTTGGAACCAATATCGAGCATTTTTTTCATTGGTGGATCCATCTCCGAAAGCTTGATTAATGTTTCTCGAAGCTTGAGCTGCACTATGATTCAATTTGTACTCATACAAAAAAAGTAGATGTAAATCGCGTTTTGTTTCCATCTGGTTTGGGAGAAATATAAAATAAAAATGGAACGTAAACATGAAAAAATTTTACAAAATGAGTAAGAAGAATACTTTTAAAATTTATAAATAAAAATATCTAGCGCACGTTGTAATGAACCTCTCTCAGTCGCAGTTGAACACAGACTAACCAAAAATGCCCGTTTCATAGTTTCCAATCTAATACTCCCAATATATATATATGCGCGTAGCATATCTTTGTAGCCGAAATGGCGAGTAGTGAAGTTTGATTTAGTTACACGAACATGTTATGCTTATGTTTAATCGTGTCCCAAATTCTACGATACAATCTGAAACAACTCTGAAATAGTTCTCGACAAAGATTTCTCTTATAAATGGCTCGTAAAGTGATTTGGAGATTGAATCTGTTTCTGTTCGTTATATGCTGCACACAACGCACTTGATTAATAGAACGCGACAACATCCCAAACTCACATTGGTTGTTAATAATTAAAATCCTTCATAAAATATTTAACAGAAATCGTAACAAAATTAGTCTTTAGACTAATTATTACGATTGCATTTGTTCCTAAAACAGTTTCTTTATTAACAAATAATCCACACCAAGTGATACACACCGAATTTGTTTCAAATTGAAATATGTATACATTCCGAAATATATCATATTTTATTCTTATATTTTTCAGTTCAAGATATGAATTTCGTAAAGTATTTATTTTTCTACAACCTTGTCTTAGCATTTTTTAATTTTATATTGGGAGTGTGAATAAGTTCTCGCCGTTTTTTGTGAAGATAAATCTTTTATTAAAAAAAAATAATAAAAAAACAAGTCAATTAAAGTATGACCATTGCTGAAGATTACTTTTTCCCATCTTTCTGGCAGCATTAGAATTCCACGTCGAAAAAACGACACTTCTTTTGCGGCTATCCACAAATCGATCCATTTTTTCGTTTCTTCATGCGAAGTGAAGTGCTGCTCAGCCAGGCCGTTAGTCATCGATCGAAATAAATAGTAATCAGAAGGCGCAATGTCTGGAGATTACGGCAGGT